TATAACTCCGTCAACTTCTGTACTCAGGGATGTTTATACATGAACATATATAGCCCCGTCTAGCATGTCTAGTGTGCATGAGAGATTTAACTAAAATTTTGAATGTTGAAATATTGGAATAATTCGTTCATTGTTAAAGAATTGGTAAATGAGATAGCAACCCAGCTATGCACATTAATAACTTAGACATCTAGAGAGCAAACTATAGCCTTCTCCAAAAGTCAGGCTCTTACAGGGCAACTTAAATACCCAACAATAGACATGCCTTTATAAAAATGTCAAGATCTAAATCGCCCAGAGTCTATACGTTCAATGTGAATTTAAAAAAAATTATGTTGTGTTTGCTTACATCCTCTTTTTTCAGTCTCTGATGGATTGTTTTCTAATATTGACAATAATACCACATCTTCTTATTTTTCTTAAGGTCTCTTATAAACACAAACATTCTCCAAATAACGAAAAACAAATAAGATATGACATACGACAACTACTTACGAGCGGTCCCCAAATTTGGACAGGTACTAGTACATGTATATGGAAATGTGTTCGAGTTAAACTTACTTTTGTAGGTCTCAATCTCCCCCTTTTGAATCTCAGTATAGATTAACAGAACGTGCATAAAAGAAAATACAAAACAGACAAGTTCTAGAAAAGAACTTAACTCTGGTTTGTCAGTATAAAGTTATGCCACACATCTTATTTTGGTACCGAAAATTTGCTATTCTATGCCTTTTTTCACTGTTAATCGTCTAAGTTCAAATTCGCCTCCTATTGGTGTCTATATAAAAATGACCGTTCCACATGAGTGCATATTAAATATTTTTGAAAATCTACTTTGCCTTCTGCTTACCGGCGGGCTATGTGATTACAAATTTTTTTTGGATAGACATGTCTTGATAATGTCTAAAATTCAAAGAACCCTCGTACAATGGCTGTATAAAAAGTTGTATCTAGCAGACCTATAATGCTTTTTCATGAACTTATTTAGCGATTTTGCAGGTAACATATATGAAAACTTTTTTTTAAAACTTGCTTGAGGAAGACGGAAAACGATCCAGGATACACATGTGAAGATGAAGCTCTATAGTTTATTTTGATAAATTTAGATTCACACCGCATATGTTTTCGAAATTCATGAGTTTCATATGAAATTGCATGGTGTTTTGTTTTTGCGTATTACTCCCATCTTTTCTTTTCAATAAGGGTTTATGTTAAGAATAAACATCATTATCTAATGGTTAAACAGATACAGCGAAAATTGACACGAAGAAGGCAAATATTTCGAAAAATAGGAATTATACCAACCTGTATGTATTTCACACTAGTAAAAAAGAAGAAAAAAACGTGAGATTGCCTTTTTAATGTACCCTTTAAAACTATTGTAGCTTTAAAATTGTCAAAACTTATCAAATCGACTTTCTAAAATTCACAGGTTTAGTCTTTTTTACCCAGATCTTCTTTAAAGCGTCTCAAAATCGAAAAATGGATTTTTTAAGATTAGAAAAAAACCCACCGCTATTTAACTAGTTCCGATTTTAGTCTTTTTTTAACTATATTAGAACATAAATCAGGCCATTTTTTTTCTCTTTTAAATGGTTTCTCATTTTTTCATACCGGGGCATTTTATAACATAACTTTTTATAACATGTATAACTGGGTTTTACTCATGATTGTTGAATGACGTACAGTGTCCTATAGTTGTTAACATCCTCGTATTTTGTTCTTTCAATTGACGGAAAGTTTTCATCATACCACATCTAATACAATTCAAATGTAGGACATAAAAGCCCCGAACACGAAGATGGTACCAGAAAAAAGTCAGGTTAGAGATAGTTTGTCTCTGATTTACAATGTGAAAAACTTATTTCATAGTAATATTTTGTGTTTTCTTGAACATTAATAATTATAAGTATAAACAACTATGTAAACAAAATCAATTCACGGTAAAAGAATTCATAATGATCTAGTGATTATTTAGAAAATAGGCTGCGAAAATTTGTTATTACTTGACTGGCTTTATGGTACCAAGAAATATATCCTTTGCATGAATAAAATTTGATAAGTCTTCATTTATCAATTCTAACGAACAATATCCCAAGCTGTATAATGAATTTATGTGATAAAAAGAAAGTACTTCAATAATTTAAGTTTCTCTAATATATTCAAACGATAGTAAACAGTTTTACTATTTAAATGTGAATTTTGTCCTATCAATTGTGTGACGGTCAGGCGTGGGACTTTGTGCCATTTACTTGCAACTCAGGACTGTGAAAAATTACTTTTACTTATGACCTCATAACATTGTAAAGTCAATCGTTTATGGTTTCAGAGGCGTATAAAACAGATAGTAAATACCTTTTTCAGATTTTTTTTACTATAATGAAGAAGGACAAAGAAGATTCTCTTGAAAGAAAGATTTGTAATTATGCCAAATGAAAATTAAACTATGAACTTTTTTTGACGTGAAAGTTCTTTCTACTACAGCCCAAGTAATTGCATATTTAAATATAATTTTTCTTTCCCTTTAAAACCAAGTGTCTTGCTGATAGCAAGGATTTAAAACTATACAAATCCTTGCTGATAGTTAACATGTTAAAGGATTCCCACTGATTAATCAATTAACACATATATGATCATATATAATAGACCATCGCGACACATATCGAGAGTTGTCTTATCTTGCGAACTGGACACCAGATGAGTCAAGGAGATTAGAAACCCAGTTCAAAAGAATTATTTCTTAATTTGAGTTATCTCCCTCAGAAGTGTCCACAATTCTTGTACATGGTTTTTCGTTTTGTTTTTTTTTTGTAGAAAAATATTGCCATTGATTTATAACTTGTACAACACTGGTCGATTTGATGTCATTTAGCTCGCTTTGCTAAGACTCAACATTCAACGCCATGTTTATTGAAAAGTTCTCTCATTAGCAAGCATAGTTTACCAAATATTATATAATCATATCAGTCGCAGGATAATCGATTATTATGAAATGCGGTTCCTTAAATCAACATACGTAATAAATCTCAAAACTTTACACTGTTTTTGCTAACTTATGTTTGTTGCCTATAATTCAGAAATTTAACAGTGTTTTGGGATTTTTTGCTTAAAGTTAACTTTTTAAGCATGGGTCCCTTTTCAAAGCCTCCCAACTACTACCTCATATGTAAACTTAAGTATAGGGGAAATTTTGTTCGCGATGTTAAAGAAATCTTCTACTTGCTCTATTTTGCATGTGAAGACCATAAAACCGTCATCTCTATATTGACAGTGTTATTTGATGTTTTCTTTCCATTTGAACTTATCTAAGATATTTATCAATAGGACAGACAGATGCAGATATGTGTATGATGGTGAAAATATACCACCTATGGAGGGGGCGCTCCTATAACTTGTTTGTATAACTTTCCATCAAACTCAAATTTATTGTTTCTTAGAATTAATTAAACAAATGCAGTTTAATCTTTTTTGTTGAGAATCTTTAAAGGATATTCTTTTGTGTCATCTAATTCTTCTGCATTGATAACTGTTTCTTTTAAATTATCAATGATTGTATTTGTGTACATTTACGTTTCATCATAGGCAATAAGAATGCATTCCCTTTTTACCTCGTGTGTTTTATTAATGAAATTTTTTGCATCTTGAACTTAAAAGTTATGCCTCTAAAAATGGTTTTATATTAGATCATTTAATCTCTCAATGCGTCTCGTTGTAGAGTAACACTTATTGATGATCAGTTGTAAGGAACATTAATTTATGTCTCCTCCTAGTTGACCATTACTCAATGCCTCATTAATTATTTCTAGATTAATGTAATGAATTTTTGAAAGACTGAGGTACATGTGTCCATGTTTTGAATCATTATTATTCTTTAAGAATTATACGTATGGGAATCTATTTCTATTTTTTTTCTATATAGATTATCAACTATATATTTTATTACCATATAACATATAAGTGCGGTTAAGCGATCCGTGTAAAGTTCTTTATTGCCAAGTTTTATATGTCTTAAATGATCCGTATGGAGGTGCTCTAAATTGCAGGAAGCTAATACAGATAAGAAATATAAATGTTCCGAATGAACAATAAGGGTTCCGAATATTCCTCCATAGACTATATTTCTAACTAATAAATATGCGTGAACCCTCAGGGGTTCACGCAAAAAACATGACCTTGTCACCGGGAATACCGACAGATTGTAGATCCATGAATGTGCATATGTAGCTTATTACCATCCAATAATAAGAAAAGAAAACGAACAGACATGCAACTTGTTAAATTCGTGAGTTAAATTTTTTCTATGTTTACCGTAGTATATATTTAGATTTTTGATATGTTGACAGCGCAAAAAGTAAATCATTTAATTTTTTTTAATATTTTCTTTTCCAACGAATATATAACTTCAATTGTAACAGGAACATATATATGATATATTGATATAGATATACTCAGGAACATATATATTGTTAGATATACTGTTCCCAGATATAGTGTTCTTAGATTGTAAGGACAATAAGTCCAATAAGTCACGGTACGTTTTGACCCTTAATTCAAGCAAACATTTCTACACTAGTAGGACTATATATGTAATACAATGTGTATTATTCCCTGGCAATACCCCGCATGGAAGGCTTGTTATAAAATCAAGGTAATTTGCAGATCGGCGCATTTTGCCCATTATTCTCTATTCTGTAAACCCCATCCAGACCCTCATATAAACCAGTCACGTTCTTTTTGATAAAAAAAGCCCTACAAAAACATCTCTCACCTATGACAAAATATGACAAAATATAAATAAATTATGTCCCAGTTCTCACTTAGGATAAACATTCATTCATTGATTTATTTCATAATAATCATAACATGATCTTACTTTTTTAATAAATATTTTTAAAAGTATATGAACCATTTCCATCAATGGGGCGAGTTTGTATAGGTCGATTTTGTACAGTGCCGAAAATCCTGTATTCGCCTGGGTTCCTGACACAAAATATTGACTACCGTCTGTTTGAAGTGAAGCTTGAATATTTCATCAGGATACCAGGTTACAGCCACTATGGCATCTGGAGGCATGGCGGTAAATTCAGGTGATTATTACTATTTTTCAATGTTAGGAAGTACGGGGAAAGGTTTCCGTTTAAAAGAAGAAAATCTTTTGAAATGACGTACCGTCAATTTTATTGTTCGAAATTGTTTTTTGTCTGTGACATGTTTCCTGTAGCCTGTGATTTTTCCATTAAATGGGCTCACATCACACTCACAGGCACTAATTTCTGTCAATGGGGGGTTTATTGGCTGAACAATCACTGAACAACAGGCTTCCTGACTTAGGACGTGCATAAAAGTGCAGCGAGTTAAAATGTTTTAACAGGCGCCATTAACGAAGTATACATGTACATGATGTACAAAGTCACAGAAAAGAAAAAGCAGTTTAAACATGATGTCATGAATGAACTACACACACATAAATAAATATATACATGTATATATATACGTTTACAAGTGTTACAGGATGAGGATGATTCTCATAAATGGGTACTACATGTATCTCCATTTATTAATTAAAATAAAGCGAAACCCAACGTCCACGGCTTCCCTCTTCATCTTCACACAATTACTATCATTGTTTTCATAGAACAATGCAAGGTTCATGTTCAGACCATATTGAAATATATTGGTTTAGCTAATGTCCTGCAATTATTTTATCACATAATCTATAATTATGTTTATAAAGAGATAGATTCCTTCTGAAAAGAAATCATCAAGTTTGTATGATACATGCTATTTATAAATTATATATGTTTGCATCAATCCTACACTAATCTAGTGTTTCGGCAGTATTTTTTATATGATGAATAAAATATTGTTATATAGGTCCGCCATCATCAGGGATTGTCCTATATATTTAAAATATTATTGTTTCTTTACCTTGGTTTGTATAAAAGTGACACCTAACATCCACATATTCCAACATCAATTAGAATTCAGATAGCAAAAAATCTTATTAGGAAGACTCTGTATACATACTATTAGTATTTTATTGTAATTTTATTACAAAATAATGATCACATGATGCTAGTATTACTAGACTTGCAATAGCTTTACATCAATCCAACACTAATTTAGTGTTTCAGCGGTTTTTATACAACCGCAAATAATTTTTGCGGTCATATATTGGTATGACAGCGTCGTCGTTGTCCGAAGACACATTGGTTTTCGCACAATAACTTTAGTTTAAGTCAGTGATTTTGCTAGCGCTCGTCATTTTCGTCATTTACGAAACAATTTTCTAAATGAAGAAAGCATTCCAAATCAATTTCTTCACTTAAATTTGGAAAGAGTAAAGATATTTTCGCATGAAAATACTATAATTCTACCTGTCTTATTGTTTCTGACAAGTTTATGACCCTCAGCTAATTAACATTAACAACAGGTGTTATAAATTGTGATTACAGATAATCCGCTTATAGCCATCGGATGGGTCACTAATCCGTTAATTATTTATCAACCTCATAATTGATCATCATAATTATTTTCCCCAGTAAAATCAGTCAGTCGGCATTTCAATTTCAATATTTATCAAACGAGCACAATTTGCAGTTCGTTTGTCGTAGTTTCGTCATTTGAGTTTTCCCTCGGACAGTTCGCATTTTAATTTCAATATTTCTCAAACGATCACAATTTGCAGTTCGCTTGTCTTAGTTTCATCAAATGAACGCATTTTCGTCATATTTGATATAACTTTTAATCAAAGACTTTCGACAATTTCCATTAAAAAGATAGAACTTTATTCATAACATTCGAAATGTTTTCACGAGTCAAACATGTGCTTCCTTTACGATGAACTGCACATGTGCGAAAATATTCTTATGAATTTAAAGACACTAAAACGTAAAATACGAAATAATTAAGTATCAAACTAAAAAGTGAGTGACAAATATAGCTCTTATTTAGCAAATTTAATTTAAAAAATGATAATTTCCTGCCTTTTTTAAACACGAACCAATCCGTAGATGAATCCGGATTCATTCTGAATTTATTATCCACTTGTCACTTCCCGTTTTCATTTCATTTGGAAATCGAAAGTAAACGTGATCTATTCATGATAAATTTACAATTTAAAGTCATTAGAATTGTTCCAATAAGGATTTGTACAAATCCTTGGTTCCAACTTTACGCAACAGCATAGTGTATTTCACAAAAGTAAATAAAAAGGGGGGTAAATTTTTTTGAGTGGGGGGGGGGGTTGTCAATTTCGCAAAAGCATAGTGTATTGCACAAAAGCAAAAAATTGAATATAAATTCAAATCATATAACCAATTCTATGTTCTTTGACTAGTTATTCGGTGTCAGAAACCTATTTTGTGTCAAATATTTAAATACAATCCAAATTCAGACCGGTATCAAGTGCGAATATTGTGTCCATTTTTGCCCCAACTGTTCAGGGTTGGACCTCTGCGGTTGTATCCAGCTGTGCTCAGCGAAGCATTTTATTGTATTATATGCTAATGATAAATGTATAACATTTATGAATGGGTTTAAGCATTGTAGGCCCGCCATCATCAGAGATTTACCTATCAGTTTATTTTAATTTTGTCGTCGTCAATAGATCTGCTATATTTTTATGCTTTTTATAAGCTATTATTGGTTTGCTTGAAAATATTTCGTTGCATATCGCATCCTGTTTTAGTAGATCCCAATGTTTACTAATGCATTGTTTTAATTTATGAATGCATGGATTGAATTTCGTTGCCAATACTAAAGGAATTTCCTTTGTGTGTTTTTTGGCCTTTTTTCTGATTAAATCAGATCTATCACATGATAATGCCTCATTTATATACTGTTTGATTTCAATCTCCTTGTATCCTCTTTTTATTAAGTTCAATCTGAACTGTAACAAAATATGTTGTAAATCATCAGTATTATTTGTTGCTCTAATGTATCTGATAACTTCGCCCTTGATAAAACCTGCAAACACTTGTAGACTGTGACACCTTTTACGATGTAGATAAAGGAAAGCATTTGTTGGTTTAAAATGTGTTTTCACATCCAAGATGTTTTCATTAGAAAACCTCGTTCCTTTGAAAATATTAACATCAAGAAATATTATTTCTTTAGATGAAAATTCTAGTGTGAATTTTAAGAATGGATGATGATTATTTGCTAACTCTAACAAATCCTTTATTTCCTTCATGTGGCTGTGATATATTAATAAAATATCATCACGATACCTACCATAGAAAATGATATTTTTTCTATGTTCAAACTTAGAAAGAATTTCTTTCATAATTTTATACATGAGAATATCACAGATTTCCGGGCTTGGCACTGCTATTGCGGCGCCTATATTTTGCTTATAAAGCTGTCCATTAAAATCAAAAATGTTGTTCTCTAAAATTGATCTGAGGAGATAGATTAAATCATCCGTAGGTGGGCATTTGATTTTGTAATCTGATTTATCAAACTGATCATACAAAATTCTAACTGCCGATAATAATTCATTAATCAGGCAATTAGAGTACATTGATACTACATCAAAGCTACAAAGCCAGCAATCTGCAATAGGCTGAATCCTTTCCAACTTGTATATTAGATAAGACGTATCTTTTATATAAGTGTGTTGTTTCTGTACTATAGGTACTATAGGTACTAATCCAATAATTCTGTGACAGTACCAATCTCAGATATGATTGGCCTACACAGCTGTTTGTTTATATTTTCATTTTTATGTTTGACCACTTTAACTATTTGACAGGTCGAGACGACGGAGTGGGTGTGAATTTACGACGGCTTTCTGACTGTCTAAATAAAAAGAAATTAAATTAAATTTTAGAGAATAGCTGTTATAGTTTTGATTAGTATGTTTCAATAGAAAAATAAATACAGAATTAAATGGAACAAAAGATGAATCCATCTATCTATCTTCCCGTCTAGGAGTGGACTCATTTTGAGTATAGAAACTGCAGCGTGATGAATAGCCTAAAACGATTTTTACAGTTAACTTATGAGCCAAGGTTATTCTGGGACATAATATATTGTATAATAATCCCAGGGTAATTGTAGCTTTGATTGGTAAAAACTTGTCAGATCCAAAGGGTATTTGGCACTAATTCTTTTTTTGCAGCTTAAAAGCAATTGACACTTTCACAACACATTCATAGCTATATGTGGGTCTGTCCATTTAGCCATGACATAAAATGGGACATCATAGTTATATTTTAGAATGTGACACAGGTTGAAAAAAAAAAAATTGATTCAGAAAGAGGATATACCAAAGCATCCAGAAAAATACAACAGAAGATAGTTTGACCATTATAAAATTGATTCTGGATGCCTTCTTTTACCAATAAACATTTGTAACATATGTGACATGTCAAATATTCATTTAAAAAAAATATTAGTGATGAAATCTTCTTCACTTTGAAAGCAGTGTCAACAATGCTAAGAAACAAAAGTAGATGTCATTTAAATAGAAACAATTAACCAAATGAAGATGGGGAAATAATTTTTAATGCCCCCGCCGTAGCGGACAAGTAAGTTTTGGGTTGTACTTGTCCTACTGGACAAGTTGAAAAAAAAGTTATTGTAGAGGCCTGATTGTCCTATATATTTAAAATATTATTGTTTCTTTACCTTGGTTTGTATAAAAGTGACACCTAACATCCACATATTCCAACATCAATTAGAATTCAGATAGCAAAAAATCTTATTAGGAAGACTCTGTATACATACTATTAGTATTTTATTGTAATTTTATTACAAAATAATGATCACATGATGCTAGTATTACTAGACTTGCAATAGCTTTACATCAATCCAACACTAATTTAGTGTTTCAGCGGTTTTTATACAACCGCAAATAATTTTTGAGGTCATATATTGGTATGACAGCGTCGTTGTCGTCCGAAGACACATTGGTTTTCGCACAATAACTTTAGTTTAAGTCAGTGATTTTGCTAGCGCTCGTCATTTTCGTCAATTACGAAACAATTTTCTAAATGACGAAAGCATTCCAAATCAATTTCTTCACTTAAATTTGGAAAGAGTAAAGATATTTTCGCATGAAAATACTATAATTCTACCTGTC